GATAGGCGGATGGTCAGCGCCGTCCTGTGGGTGCTGTCTGGATAGGCGGATGGTCAGTGCCGTCCTTAGCTACTACCTGTTATGCACACCATTCCCTTCCATCATATCTCCAGACAAATGTCTCCAAGTGGCAGTTCACCCTGGGTAAGAAAGAACTACAGGTGTGGTGGTAGGGTGGGGTGGGCTGGGTTCTATACCTCTGTGGTCCACGGTCTACTGCTTCTCCGCCTCGGGCAGACCCATGGCAAGCCTTGCTCTCATCATTGCCCTGTCTCTCCCACCCCTGTCTCCCTGCAGAAAGCGGGCGGCGGCCTGCGCCAGTGGAAGCGTGTCTATGCTGTGCTGCGGGCACGCTCGCTCTCGTTGAGCAAGGAGCGGAGGGAGCCCGGGCCGGCGGCTGCGGGGGCTGCGGCGGCCGGCGCAGGTGAGGACGAGGCGGCGCCCGTCTGCATCGGCTCCTGCCTGGTGGACATCTCCTACAGCGAGACCAAGAGGAGGCACGTGTTCCGGCTGACCACCGCTGACTTCTGTGAATATCTCTTTCAGGCTGAGGATCGGGATGACATGCTGGGCTGGATCAGAGCGATCCGGGAGAACAGCAGGGCCGAGGGCGAGGTGAGGCCCTGGGCGTATGCCCATTGGGCCACCAGGGCAAGGCAGGGGCAGGGCAGGGCAGGGCAGGTCTCCTCTCAGCTGCTATGACCTGGGATGGCCACTCTGAGCCTCACTCCCTCTCCTAGAAAACAGAGCTATTGAGAGCCCACCTTGGGACTGCCCACCTGGGTTTGGGTGTGAGGACAGACACATACACAGTGACAGCAGGGCAGCTGGCATCCTCAGGGGCCAGGAACCAGCAGACACAATAACAATCGCAGTCACACAGTAATTACTATTATTGTTGGGACTGCCTTGGGCAAGCTCTGGCCCAGAGAGGTCAGCTCCAGGCCAGCCATAGCCTCTGGATGGACAGTAGACAATCTCCCATGGAACGTGTTGTAGAATGAGCTGTCCTACCCAGATATACTAAGTCTGGGGACAGTCACACTGATCTTAACCAGAGGTTTAGGCTTAGCCTTTGGCAGCAGATGGTCAGGGGTTAAGCTAAGTTATTTGGTGGAGATTTGGAAACAGATTTTTTTTAAAAAAAAAAAAAAAAGAAAGAAATGGCGTCTCTCTTGGGAGTCGCCAATGATCCCTGTTGGTCTGATCTGCCCAGAGGTCATTTGTCATACCTGTGCAGAGGAAGGCACAGTCCTGGGCTTGGAGGGTTGCATCCACCAAGGGGGCTGTGTCTAGGCTCCGCCCAGGTGGCACCTGGCCAGTTCTCTTTCTAAGGACAAGCCCTTTCACTGTTGGGGTCCTCCCCACTTGAGAATCCTGGGTCCCCTGTTCCGGAGACCTGGCCAAATTTCTCCTTAGTTACTGTAGTAGCCACCGGTCTTGGTTGTGCCCTGCATACCTGACGGACCTGAGAGAAACACTGCACAGGGGGCTGCTTTGTCTAGCCCCGCTGTGCTTCTTGCTGAGGTGACTGAGGCTCAGAGATGTTAGGTGGCTTACCCAAAGTCACACAGCTGCTCAGGGAGTCCAGCCCTGGCCTTTGTCCATCCAGGGTCTATGATGTCCACCTGGTGGGGAGAGGCAAGGCTGAGGCAGGGGCCAGGGAGGAGCCCCGGTGGAGGTGGCCTCTGGGCACTGATGTGGCTTCTCTCTCCTCCCCTGTTGCAGGACCCCGGCTGTGCCAATCAAGCTCTGATCAGCAAGAAGCTTAATGATTATCGAAAAGTGAGGTAAGGCCTGTTCTCTGGGGGCCATCAGTGGTGGGGAGGGAATCCTACAGGGTTGGGAGTTCCTAGGCAGAGAGCTCTAGTCCTCAGACAGGCCTGGGGGGATTGTCTCTAGAGGAAGGGGATGGAGGCCAGTGAGAATGGCATGCTGGGTCACCCCAGATGAAGACACCCCCCCTTCCTTTTTCCCTCTGCAGCCATAGCTCTGGGCCCAAAGCCGATTCCTCCCCTAAAGGCTCTCGGGGCCTAGGAGGTCTCAAGTCTGAATTCCTCAAGCAGACTGCAGTCCGCGGCCTCAGGACTCAGGACCAGCCTGCAGGAAGCAAGGGTAGGAGGGCAGGGTGCATTGTGTGTGCTTGTGCGGGCAGTTGTGTGTCCGAATTGTGTGTCCATGTCTGCCCTACGTGTGAGCCTACAAGGGTCTGTAGCCTCAGGGTTTCAGGACTGGAAGTTTCTGGATCCCAGTTGCCTTCTACAGCATCCTTGTTGGATGGGTCCTTTGTGTCTGCTTGTGTCCTTTGGGAATGAAAGGGTCACTCTGCAGGTAGCGTCCATCTTTATACTCTGGGCTGTTAGAAAGCATTTCCTGGGCTGGAGAGATGGCCCAGTGGGTAAGAGCACTTCCTGCTCCTCCGGAGGCCTCGGTTGGGTTCCCAGAGTTCACAACTACCTGTAGCTCCAGTTTGGGGAGATTCAGCACTTCTGACATCTATGGGCACCTGCACTTGTACACTTGTACACATTCACACACCCACAAACTCACACATCCATACTTACACACATAATTTCCTTTCTTCCTTTCTTCCTTTCTTCCTTCCTTCCTTCCTTCCTTCCTTTCTTTACCAGCCATAGTGATGTGTTTTTGTGATTTTTTTTCTTCCTAGTTTTTCGAGACAGGTCTTCTCTGTGTAACAGTCTTAGCAGTCCTGGAACTTACCTTGTGACTTTGTGACAGAGACTGACCTTGATCTCATAGAATTTTTTTAAATTTTAAAGGTCTTTTTTTTAAAAAAAAAAAAAAAAGAAAGAAAGAAAGCATTTCTTTTGGTCATGCCAAAATACACAACACACTGCCACCTCATGGGTGGGTCCTTAAGGCCACCATCAACCTTTTCAGAGCTGTGATCTTCCTGGGGACTAAGCACCTCATCTTTTAAACCGTCTCTCGCTGGATGTAATTTTCAACTTCTGTAGTTCTTTGGTACAGTCCCCGAGTCCTAGCGTGTGTATGTGGCTTTGAATGTGTGGGACCCTCTGGGTTCCTCCAGCTGATTCTAGTTCTCTTTGCTACTGTTCATCCCAGAAGACAGTGCTGCAGCTCCCAGAACCCCCTGGGGTATCAACATTATCAAGAAGAACAAGAAGGCTGCCCCAAGGGCATTTGGGATCCGGTTGGAGGAGTGCCAGCCTGCCACTGAGAACCAGGTGGGTCCCCGAGGTGCCAGAAGCAGGCAGTACATGGAAGGCTGTGTCAGGGACCCAGAGCTATAGGGATATGGCACCAGCCATTCCTCCTACACACAACCTGGTGGCCATCTTAAAGAGGGGATCCCCGAGTTCTGCAGAGGGCCCTTTTGAACTGAGGCCTACCCTGGCTTGTACCTTCTCAGTCCGTGGTGAAATGCTCACACTAGTTCTGATCTTTAGAAGGGAGACAGGAAGGGCTTCGTCTCCTTGTGTGTCCTTACAGCAGCTCTGGCCTTTGCGCTGTCCCCACATCAACCTTCTCCAATAACCCTAACTCCTCTGCCCTGTCTGTGCCCACAGCGTGTCCCCCTGATCGTGGCTGCCTGTTGTCGTATTGTGGAGGCACGGGGGTTAGAATCCACTGGCATTTACCGGGTACCTGGCAACAACGCAGTGGTGTCTAGCTTGCAGGAGCAGCTCAATCGTGGGCCCAGTGACATCAACCTGCAGGATGAGGTGGGTGTGGCAGGTGTGGCAGGCTGTTGGCAGAGCTCCGGGGACTGTCATGTTGCACTCACCACACGCTACTATATGCTCGTCGTTGGCCAGAGTGTCCAGGTGGCAGGAGAAAACCTGCCTGGTCAGTCAGCCTCAGTGGCATCTCCCCAAGGATGGCCCAAAAAGGAATGAAGCCCTGGGCTGATGGGTACTGAGACAAAGGCAGGTATTTTTGTTTGTTTTTTCCAGTCTTCTTTGTAACCCAGGTTGATCTTTCTGCCTCTGGCTTCTAAGTGCTGAGACTTCAGATTTGTGCTACCAGCAGGGCAGCTGTCCTTCTGGCTGGATGACAGTTTTACATGAACACTTAGGATGGCCGAGTTCACTCAGTTAAAGTCAAATATGGGCAGAGGGAGGCTAAACACTTGCTGAGAATTAAACTTCCAAGAATGCCAACTAGTACACATTTTAGGTCTCCTGCAATCGCATTTCTCCCCCTCGCTCCTCCTCATCCTGCCTCCCACCCCCACAGTCCTCTAGCACCAGGCTAGGCAAAATATGGGGTGCTGGCTGGAGTCCATAGGCCACTGAGGCCTGCAGAGCCCTGGCCTGGGGGAAGAGGATGCACCATGCTCTCAGGGTGGCCAGCCACCAAGGCCGTAGCCTGGAAAGGGAGACCGAAGCTGGGAGCAGCCTCTAGAGGTGGTGATGTCACACCAAAGAGTTTGTAGCTTGGCTGGCAGTTCCCAAATGATTCCTGAGTCTGAGGGTTCCCAGAGGAGCTTTGAGGAGCCACACGCAGGCCAAGACTCCTTCCTTTGCTAGGACAAGGGTCACCCTACCTTGTTCTGAATCTTACCTTGACTTTCTTTCACATCTATTGATTTATTTGTTGAGGGGCCCACATGCACGGTGTGTGCCATGGCGTACGTACAGAGGGTAGAGGACAACTGTGGGAGTTGGGTTTCTCCATCCACCATGTGGGTCCTGGGGATTGGACTCAGGTCATCAGGCTTGGCAGTCAATATCTTTGCCTGTTGAGCCATCTCTCACGAGCCCACCCTGGATTTCTGTGTAAGAATTTATTTAACCAAAGGGGCGTTGAGTGGGAGCCACGAATCTGACGAGTAAAGCACCATAGACCCAATGACCCAGAGTGTTTGTGTCTTTGGGAGATGGGGAGACAAATAGATGTGACATCAAGGACAAAGAAGAGTGGTCTGCCATCAAGGGAGAAACTGCTGAGGGCTGGAGCAGGGGCAGAGTCCCGAATGTGTAGGAGAGCAGGGGGGTAGCCCTAGTAGGGAGTGACAGCGTTGTTCAAAACTCATGGAAGGGCTTGAGGGTTGGACAAAATGTGGACACATCTTCTTTGTTTGGGGCTGGGGACGCGAAGGCCCAGGACAGGACATGTGATGGGTTCCTGGACCCTTTGACCTGGAGCCAGTGGGAAGTAGGGAGCTTTTGGTGCCTTACCCCGGGGAAGCACAGCCAAGAGTATGAGGCGCTGAAGCTTAGTGGCAGCTGTGAGTGGAGGGGGAGGAAGAGAGCCCTGAGGTGTTGGGGTCTCTGAAGGTCAAGATACTACAGTGGGCCCCTTGTAAGTAGAGGCAGCCAGTGGGAGGAAGGGAAGGTGGGGCAGAGAGACCAGAAGGGAGAGCTGGTGGCTGCATGAGGCAGAGGGTGGTCCCATTGGGTTTGGGGTGATGGTACATCACCTCTATGGGTTGGCAGCATCCTCAGGCCCTGACTAAGAGGGGTCATGTGACAGCCTGGAACCAAGGGTCTGCTGTCTGGGAAAAGGCAGACTGACACCAGCTTGGAAGGGCAGGACAGGGTTCTTAGGAAGCAGGGCTGGGAGCAGACACTGTCACAGGAGACCAAGGCTGAGCTGAGGGGTCTCAAGTTTGGCAGCTGGGAGATGAGAAGCGTTCAGCCCCCGGGCCGGGAGACCATAAGGAATGGAGAGAGGTGTAAGAGCTACTCCACTGGGCCAGCCTGCAGTGAAGCCAGGGAGAATAGGGGCAGAGTCAGAGGGACGCCTGAGCCAGGGCAAGCGGGTTTGTCCAGTGTGCTGGCTGTGCTGTTTGGTAGCAGGCATTACTCGCACAGGCTGCTTCGGAGTGTGCCGAAGTCAGGGCTCTGTGTGGGGCCCGGGGAGGGTGATGCTAGGGACTATCTGACACTAGGCTGCGGCTCTTTGTGATGAGTGTGCATAGCATTGTGTCTCCTGCTGACCACGTTCCATTGCTTTCTAGGCACTTCTTTTCTGAGTGGTTCCCAGCAGAGTGGCTAAGCCTAGCTCCTAGCTATGGCATGTAGGGTGTTGGTGCCCCCTGGTGGACAGAATGGCCTCGTGCCTCGTGGTTCCTTCTCTATTAAAACAGTTTCTGTACCCTAGCTCAGAGGCCATTTGGAGCAAATTATGTATTGATACATGTGTGTGTGTGTGTGTGTGTGTGTGTGTTTTGTTTAGTTTCTTTTTTTGTGGGGGATAGGGTTTCTCTGTGTAGTCCTGGCTGTTCTGTAACTCACTCCGTTGACCAGGTTGACCTTGAATTCTGCCTGCCTCTGCCTCCCTAGTGCTGGAATTAAAGGTGTGAGTTTGATTAAAAGACCCTGCTTCATTGAATAAAGTGGAAGAGCAATAGAGAATCAAGCCTCCACATGCATGAACATGTACCCTCCCATACACATACATGCATATACATGTGTATGAAAATGGAAAAAGAACCCAGATACTGCCAAACACTCTTGGGGGACAAATCAACCCTCACTTAGGACATTTGGATCCCTGCCCGTCACAGCACAGCCTCCCAGGAGATAATGACAAAGAAACAGACAAAACAAGCACTCAGGAGAAAGTCGGAGTGTGGGGCAGATGGCTGGGTAGTGGCATCCGTGGCTGCTTGGGCTTTGGGAGTGAGGCAGGGTGAGGGGCCATTCCTGTGAAGGGCAGAGGTGGAGAGTCCCAGTGGAGGCAGCATGTGCAGAAGGGCCCAGGATAGGAAGGGGGCACTTAGTCTGTGGGTAGTAGGCACACATAAGAAGGGGGCAGTGTGTGAGGCCCGTGCTGTGGGCACTTAGTCTGTGGGTGTAAAGGGTCACATCCATTAGCTGGATGGAGAGCATCTGGAGGCGGGACTGATCCTGGCACTTGTGGATACACTGGAGATGTCCAGGGCATTCTTATGTGGGCTAGCTTCCCCCACTTCTGTCCCCAAAATTTGGGTCGTTTTGCTTTTTGTGGTAGGCAGTATTGAACTCACTGGGCTAGCTCGAGTCAAGGTTGTGTTCTGGACAGGCATGGAGGCCTGAGGACTGGGGTGACCTTGCTACCCCAAGGCCTGGTATGGGCCATGGGGCCATGGGCACCTGGGATGAGCATGCGTGTGTCCTGATCTCTCTGTTTCTCCTTAGCGCTGGCAGGACCTCAATGTGATCAGCAGCCTGCTCAAGGCTTTCTTCCGCAAGCTGCCGGAGCCGCTCTTCACTGATGGTGAGTAGTGGGCAGGGAGGAGGTGAGAGAGAGGGACACACCATCCATCCGTTACCACCCCTGCCGTACGCATACTCTCTTCCTCTCCCTCTCTCCTTCTCACTCTTGGTCGTTGATTTTAATTTTGAGTTTTACTTTATAGGTATTTATTTTTATTATGTTTTTTTAAAACACCAAAGAAATTTGTGCATGTAAAACATGGAGTCTATGCAGTTGTATGTGAGTTCTGTCACTCCGTTCTTCCTCCCTAGGTCATGGCCACCCTCTGAGCTTTCATTGGAGCCCAGCACTGCTCCCTGTAACAGTCCCCCAGATAAGGCTGTTATCAGACTCCTTCCTGGGCCAAGACCTGGGGGCTCAGAGAAGGAAAGTAACTAGCTAAGGTCACCCAGCCTGTAAGCGACACAGCCAGGATTCCTCCTCAGGCTTCTGGCCACAAACCCCTCTACCCCGTGTACTCAGCTGCACGTTAACAGCTGCTTCGGTGGGTAGAGCAGTGCATGCCTTTAACCCCAGCACTCAGGAGCCTGGGGCAGGGGAATGATGCTTTTGAGGCTAGCCTCGCTACATAGAAGCTATAAAACAGAAGCTTGCCTCAAAAACAAAATCACAAACTAGGCGTGGTGGCACACACCTTTAGTCCCAGCCCTCGGAAGGCAAAGACAGGTGGGTCTCTGTGAGTTTGAGGCCAGCCTGGTCTACATAGTTCCAGGACACCCAGGACTCCTCAAAACTCAAAACAAAGCCAAAACAAAAATCATAATCAGACAGACAAACCAATTCTGCCGTGCTGCTGTGTTATTTTCCTGACCTTTATGCTATGAGTGAGACACCCAGACCAACACGGAGTGGAGTGGGTGGGTTTCACTAAACGGTGTGCTGGTAGGTGTGCAGGAGAAAAAAAGCTCCAGTCTGTCTCATTCTCCAATTTCCATGGTGTAAATATTCTCACTGGGACTTATTTCAAGCTCCTGGCCTGGTGTCCCCAACACAGAACAGGAAAGAGACACACGTTTGTATTTGTGGATCCAGTGTGAACAGACTGCGGGTTTACTGTTGACTTGTTCTTATCAGTAGCCAGTTCTCAGGGCTGGAGAGACGGCTCAGAAGGTAAGAGCACTTGTTGCTCTTTCATAGGAGCCCAGTTTGATTCCCAGAACCTACATAGTGGCTCACAACCACCTACAGCTCCGCTTCCAGGGGATTCAGTTCCCTCCTCTGGCCTCCCCGAGCACCAGGTGCCCACGTGGTGTCCAGACACCCATGCAGGCAAAACACCCATACACATAAAATAAAAATAAATCTCCAGCCTGTGCTTCTTCTAACCGCTCCTTTACTGGTGGGTATTTAGATGACCTTTGAACCTTTCTCGAATCCATCCTCACAAGACTGGATCTGTTCTGTAGTGGATGCTTTGACATGGAGTGGTGGGCCAGTGTCTCCCTGTGAGAGCTGCCGTGGACTGCACATGGGGAGGCCGGGTTCACACTCCCATTCCTACCACAAGCAAGTGTGCTGGTGATATAGTTTTCAGAAGAGTTTCATTCAGTTCTGTTGTTTTATTTTTACATCTTACTTCTTTTGTGGGGTGTGGGGCAGGTGTGCATGTGCCACATGTGGAGGTTGTTGGGTCTCCCCTTCCAACCTGTCAGTCTCGGGGATTGAACTCGGGTCTTCAAGCTTGGCAGCAGATGTTTTACCCACTGAGCCATCTCATGAGCCTTCCTACTTTATTTTACTTTTCTTTTCTATTGGTTTATTCATTTATTTTACATATATGGGTGTTTGCCTGTAAGTGTGTCTGTGCCTGGTGCCTGAGGAGGTTCAAAGAGGGCTCCAGATCCCCTGGAGCTGAAGATACAGAGTAGGTGCTGGGGATAGAACTTAGGTCCTGTGTAAGAGCAACTGGGCCATCTCTTCACCCCTTATCCTTTCCTTTGAGACAACAATAAGTTACTCAGATTGGCTTTGAATGTCTGATTGTGTCTTACCTCAGCCTCCTGGGTATGTGGAAATACGGGCAGGTCCACCACACCTTGTTTAGTTTTTTTCCTTTTTTGCCGTCTGGGCGTCAAATGCAGGGCCTTGCTCTCTACCACTGGACGACAGCCCAGCTTTGTTACTAGCGTGTGAAGCTTCTGATCAGCAGGGGCTGGTATCTTGTTCTGGTTTCACAGTGTTGCCCTCGTCGCTAGGGTCAGCCTCATTTCGTTAGTTTATTGGCTCTTTCCGTTTCCCCTGTAACTGGGTCTTCACTCTCTGCACCTACATTTCTATTGAGCTATCTTTTTTCTCTTGATTTGTGGGGACAGATTTCTTTGTATATGATATACATTCACCTTTGTTGGCTGCAGCCTTCTTCTCTGTCTTTTTACGTTTTTCCTAGACAAGGTCTCGCTATGTAACCCAGGGTAACTTCCTGCTTGAAGCAGCCCTGTCTCAGCCTCTGGATGCTGAGGTCACAGGTTATACCATCCCAGCCAACTGCCATTTCCCTTTGGACTTTTCAGTTTAGAAACGGAAAATAGTGTTAAAAATCTAATAAAATTATTATTAATGATTTTTTATTTTATTTTATTTTATTTTATTTTATTTGAGATAGGGTTTCCCTGTACAGCCTTCACTGTCCTGGAACTTGTTCTGTAGACCAGGCTGGCCTCAAACTCACAGGGATCCACCTATCTCTTCCTCCTGGGTACTGGGATTAAAGGCATGTGCCACCACTGCCCAACTATATTTATTTATTGAATATGGAGGGGAGGAAGCTATAGCATGTATGTGGACGTCAGAGATCAACTTTCTAGAATCAATTCTCCTTCCACCAGGTGGGACCTGGGGATCAAACTCAGGTAATCAGGAAGGGCAGCAAATTCATTTCCTCACTGAGCCTTCTCACCGACCCTGAAAACAATGTTTTTAAGTTCCTAAACTCTCTTTAATGGGTTGAACATCTCATGCTTAGGCCTTATGGTTGTAAAAATATTTTCCCTGCGATTTTTTCCCCCATTTTGAGTCAGGTTCTTTTTTGCAGGGGAAAGGGAGTCGAGACTGGGTTTTTCTGTATAACAGCCCTAGCTGTCCTGGAACTAGCTCTTGTAGACCAGGCTGGCCTTGAACTCACAGAGATCCGCCTGCCTCTGCCTCCCAGGTGCTGGGATTAAAGGCAGATTCTTAACTCTAATTTAGGCTGGTCTCAGATTTAGGGAAATCTTCTTCCTCAGGCTCCCGAGTGTTGAGATTACAGGTATGAGCTAACATGCCCAGCTTGACTTTGATCTTTTAAAAATATGATTACATTTATTTATGTATTTAGTATAGGGAAGGAATACACAAACATGCCTAGTTATTTGTGTGTTGAGGTCAGAGGACAGCGTGCAGGATTTAGTTTTGCCTTCTACCATGTGGGACCCAGGAGTTGAACTCAGGTTGTTAGACTGGGCAGCAAGCACCTTTACCCATGGAGCCACCTCATAGGCCCTCACCTTTGGTACTTTGATTTACATATTAGTCTCTGTCGAACAGCTAAGCTAGCTTGTGTGTGTGAGATGGGGGCCTTCTCTCACTGGTCCCAGGCGTGCTGCATGCCTCCCCCCTGCCTTTGTCCTGTAGGGGAATCCCAGTTCTTCTCACTGCCCCGTGAGCACATCTTCAGAAGCCAGCACTGACATCCGGTGTTGTCTGGAATCACTCTACACCTTATTTTCAGAGACAGGGTCTCTCACCGAGTCTGGGACTTGGTAGTTAGCTAGACTGGTAGTGAACTCCAGGAATCCCCCTGTCTCGTCTCCCAGTACTGGGATAACAAGGCGTGCTGCCACAGCAAGCCTTTTTTTAATTTTTTAAAGATTTATTATTTTATGAATATGGGTGCTTTGTCTGCATGCATACTTACACTCCAGAAGAGGGCATCAGATTCCATTATAGACAGTTGTGAGCTATAGACAGTTGTGAGCCACCATGTGGGTACTGGGAATTGAACTCAGGACCTCTGGAAGAGCAGCTAGTGCTCTAAACCTCTGCGCCATCTCTCCAGCCCGACCGCAGTAAGCTTTTTATGTGGTGCTGTGCATCCAAAATCCTGGTCCTCATGATGGCACTGCCCCCCTGAGCCATGTCCCCAGTCCCAAACCATATCCTTGTCAGTCCTTGTGCATGGCTCATCTGGATGGACTGTGTTTTATGTGTTGGGGTGCTGGGGATGGTACTGAAGGCCTGGGCATGCTAAACTCCTATTTGCTGGAAGTTCCATCCAAAATAACCTGCTGGAGGCTGCAGCGCTAAGGAGCATGGGGAAAGGGTTTATCACCTGCAGTATTGAAGTTCCCTGGTGCATGCTTGGGAACCTCAGAGCGGGGACCTGGGGACTGTTGAGGCAGGTGCAGTGTCTGAAGGCTCCTCTCCTTTTTTCTGACCTACTGAGCCCTGAGATCCTTGGCCTGAAGATGGGGCGGGAACCCTTTGTTCTGGTCTTCCCACACAAACACTCAGGCTGCAGCAGTGTCTTCCCCCCTGGCTGGGACGCTAGCGCTCCTGAGTCGGGGAGGGGCTGGGACGCTAGCGCTCCTGTGTCGGGGAGGGGCTGCCTCCTACCCCTGAGGATCTCTCCTGTGTTCCAGACAAATACAACGACTTCATCGAGGCCAATCGGATAGAAGACTCAAGAGAGAGGATGAAGACACTGCGGAAGCTGGTGAGGACAGAAGCCCCGTCAGGCAGGAGGGCAGCCTGGTGCCATCCCCCCAGAGGCTTCCTGCACGGAGAGCCTCAGTTTCCCCATCTGTACAAGGAAGGGAGTTGGAAAGTGGATTCCGGCTCCCTGCACTGTGGCAGTGGGAGTCTCTCCGGAGCGTGGCGGGAGGCTGAATTGGAGAGATGTCCACAGCCTCGTCCCTTTTTCTTCCTCCCGTCCCCTAGATTCGGGATCTCCCAGGACACTACTACGAAACGCTTAAATTCCTTGTGGGCCATCTCAAGACCATTGCTGACCACTCAGAGAAAAACAAGGTGTGTGTAGCTCCCTGGCAGAGTCTGGAAGCACGGGGTGCATGGGATTCGCGCTTCCTCAGCATGATTTGGGACCCATTGAGACCTCCCTCTTCCTAAGGCTATTATTCCACTTCTGCCACAGCAGGCCAGTGCCCAGCCTGCAGCTGGGCCAGCGCCATTTCCTCAGAACCAGCTCCTGAGCTGCTGAGGGCCATGTAAAGGCCAAGAGCCGCAGTCCCCTGCAAGGTAGCATCTGTCCTCTGATCCAGCTCCAATCCCTTCACTTATATCTTCTTGTTCAGTTCTTTCTGTCTTTTGGTTCTGCAGTGGAGAAAAAGAGAGGGATGATGGGTTTCTCCTTATTCTAACTGACTCTAGAATCTCCAGCATGCCTCCCCTCCAGGATTCCCACTGCTCTCACTAGCCTCCAGGGCTGCCCTGGATGGGTGTGTCAGGTGGGCACTGATCATGGCTGCCAGGCCTGGAAATGGGAGAGGCTAAACATCTGCCTTACACTTTACTTGGCAAACCTCTCTGTGCCCATGTAGGATATTCAGCCTCTAATCTAGAGACACATCAGGGTTGGGGATGGTGGTCTCAGTGTCCTGGAGGGAAGGAAGAGCGAGGGTACTGGTGAGCATGCTCAAAGCGTTGATCCTGGGATTTTTTTTCCCTCCCCAACCCAGATGGAGCCCCGGAACCTGGCTCTGGTCTTCGGGCCAACGTTGGTAAGGACATCTGAAGACAATATGACAGACATGGTGACCCACATGCCAGACCGCTACAAAATCGTGGAGACACTGATCCAGCATGTAAGTGCCCATTGTGAGATTGAAGCCTGAGTGCCCAGCCTAGCCTGGGTGCCCCAGGATACTTGCAACAGCACCTGTAGTCCGAGAGGCTACTGCTAGGCGGTGCATGGCCTTTAGCAGTGACGGGCTGCCACTAAGGCCAAACAGCAGTGCATCCAAGTCCTTAGCAGAGGAACAAGAGCGGAAGGAGAGTCAGGGAGAAACATGGAGGCTGGCTGCAGAGGGTCCTCAGGAGGCTGCTCCAGTAGAGGTAGCCTGCAGAACTGGGCACACAGGTGTGTGATTTGGGTGTCAGGAGATCTGGGCTCCAAACCCACAGACCCTTTGGTCAGGGGGCACAGATGGTATAGGGAATGGAGCAGAAACCAAGGCCACATCCTCCATGGTGCTCTGGTGCAAGCCACTGCTTCCCCTTCCTTCTGACTCCTGGAAGGTCCAGGGAGGTCAGTTGTCTTCAACCTTCCTAACACTGCAACTCTTTAATACAGTTCCTTGTGTTGTGGTGACCCCAACTATAAAATTATTTCTGTTGTTTCTTCATAACTATAATTTTGTTAGTGTTATGAATCGTAATGTAAGTATGTGTGTTTTCTAATAGTCTTAGGTGACCCCCATGAAAAGTTTGTGACCCATAGATTGAGAACCACCGTGCTAGGTTCTTGCTTTTGTCTGGGAAGGATGGAGAAACCATAGTGGCCAACAGAGGGCGATAGAGGCCTCTCTCTTCTGAAGCTCTCTCCCTAAAGGCAGTTCCTTCTTCCAGGGATTCAGGAATGAATTTATAAATCAAAAGATTTCCTACTTACCAATCTGTGACAGCCACAGAGTCCTCTTCTGCAGAGAAAGTAAGGGTAGCCATTGGTCCGAGAAAGGGAGCCCTGGTACCCCCACTTTATAGATGAGGAAATCAGGATACAGAGAGGTGCTGACTGGCAGAACCAAAAGATGGCGTCTCTAGAATTTCAGATAGGTCCACCTGCTCAAGCCTGTGCTCCTCTCCCTACAGCCTCTCCTCTCTGCCGGGGCTGACTGCGCAGAAGGCAGCTTCAGGCCAGGGAGTGACGGGGAGTGGAGGCAGCAGTGGGCTTGGATCATGCTGATTCTCTTGCCGGCTTATCTGTCCTTTACTCCGCCCCCCCCTCACCCCTACCCTCGCCCCACAGTCAGGGCCATGGCAACAGAAGGGAGCACTGGGGCCTGTTCTCCACCCAGCATGGGACCGGTCCCCTGGGTGATAAAATTGCTGGCAGTACCAATATCTCCTGTGTTGGGTTTTGTTCTCAAGCACCAGGATCCCCAGAGGCTCCCACAAATGGAGCCATGGTTGGGAAGGAGGGCTTCTGACTGTGTAGTTTCTGGAGAAGCTGCTGGGCCTGAGGTCTGTGGCCATTGCAGGACCTGGACCAGCAGCCTTGAGAGAGAGCAGGCCTTTACCAAGTCAGTTTTCCCAGAGGCCGCGTCTGATCCTGGGGGATGGGAGTGTCACAGGTGTGCGCTTCTGTCTTGGTGCCTAGTCCAGGGTGTGTGTGGTGAATGCGCTGTGTTTACTGAGCTGAATGAGTCAGCAGTGAGTGAGTAGCTGAGGCTGGGCGGCCTGGGCTTTCCACTCAGGGATTCATTTCTGACAGAGAGCTGAGCTGGAGACCTTCGCTTCTCAGCCTCCAAGGCCTGGGGACATCTTTAACACTGAGTAGGTGCCACGCTCTGCAGCTCCAGGTTACCCACCTAAGAGTCCAGAGGCTTCTCTAGAGGGGTGGCAGAACCAGCAGGGGTAGGTTGTAGAGACCAGACAGTGACCATTGGATTTTAGCCCAAATGTCTTCCAACAGGGGCTCCTGTCACAAAGGGAAGCCTAGGGCAGCCGTAGGGAGTGGTCCCCAGGCATCCAAACCAGACTTCATGAGGTAAAGGGTGGGGAGTGATGTGGGAACAAGACTGTGCAGAGCAGAAAGGAGTGCAGGCCCAGGCACTTGGCGGAAGTCACCCCACAGCCCTGCTGTGTCCCCCAAGTCGGCTGGTGGCTGGCGTCCAGGGCCTGGAGAGCCCTAGGCCAGTGTTCTCACACTGAGCCACAGCCCTGACCGCGCCCTCCTGTGTCTTGGGGGGGGGTCTTTGACACCACTGCTGGCTCCCAGCCCCAATGCCAGGCTGTCTCATCAGTTGTGACAATAGAAAATAGGCCTGTGCCAGGCAGGAAGAGCAAATTCAAGGCCAGTCTGGACTTCATAGAGTTTGAGAATAGCTGCAGCAACAGGTATTTCCAACTATTTCCAACTCCCAATTGCACTTGGCTGTTTTCTCCCCCTGTCCCACACTTGCAGCAGTTTGTAATGACGCTTTCTGTTGTGTTCCTTAGGCTGTGAGGACGTCCCATACAGAGGACGGACTAGGCTGGGATGCTGTGCTTGGCAATGATTTCAGCACGCTTTGTTTTGGTTTGATTGGGTTTTTGGCTTGTTTGTTTGTTTTTCAAGACAGGGTTTCCTTGTGTAGCCCTGGCTGTCCTGGAACTCGCTCTGTAGCCCAGGCTAGCCTCGAGCTCATAGAGATTCTCCTGCCTCTGCCTCCCGAGTGCTGGGATTAAAGGTGTGCCGCCACCTGACTGATCTCAGTACATTTAATGGCCTTTAGTCAGGTATTTTTGGTTTTCTCTATGTGAATTTTGGTCTCTTTGTAGAAAATTGTGTGTGTGTGTTTGCACACATGCGTGTGTGCAGTGGACATACGTGTGCCACAGCATGTGTGTACAAAAGTCAGAGGACAGCTTAAGGAATCTGCCCTCTCTTTCCCCCAAATGGGACCCAGGTTGTCAGGCCTGGCAGCAGGTACCTGTGCCATCACTGGCTCCAATTCTAAGGTATTTTTCCCCTGATTTTTTTTTCATTTGTTTACTTATTCATTCATTTATTGTTACTTGTGTGTGTCCGGGCAGGGGATGGCAGGGGATGCATGCTTGTAGTGGTTAGAAGAAAGCCTACAGGGTTAGCCCTCTCCTGCCACCAGTTGGGTCCCTGGGACTGTACTCCAGCTGCAGCCTTGGTGGCTTACCCTCTGGACCATCTCACTGGCTCTCCTGGGGTTGGTTTTGGTTTTTTTGTTTTTGTTGCTGTTGTTGTTTTGGTGATTTAGTTTTCTTTTTGTTTTGTTTTGTTTGCTGTTGTGAATGGATTTTTTTTTTTCGTGGTTTCCTCTCAGTAAGTTTGTTACTGGTATATAGAATGACTTGATTTTTGTCTGTTGGTTTTGTTACTTGTTAGAAGTGTTCACTGGATCCATGAGTTTTCTGGTGGTGTCTTTTGGGACTTTAAGTATAGGTTCATATTGTCTGTAAGCAGGAAGACTTTGACATCTCCCATTCATATTTGTACCCTTTCATTTCTCTCTCTCACTGCTCTGATGAAAACTTCAACCTCTGTATTGAATGAGAATGATGAAAATGTCCACTCCATCGCATTGATGTTATAGGGAAACTTTAGTTTTTCTCATGTAGTATAACGTTGTCTCTATTTGTCACATACGGACTTACTGTGTTGATATATGTTCCTTATGTTGTCTCTGTGTTTGTCACATGGACTTACTGTGTTGATATGTGTTCCTTATGTTGATAGTTTGTTCCATGCTTTGGTCTTGAAGGATCTTGAACTTTGTCAGAGGCTTCCTCTGCATCCATTGAGGTGATCACATCCTTTTGTCCTTAATATATATTTACACATCGTATTACATTGATTGATTTCCACATGTTGAACCTTGCACACCTATATGAAACCACCTTGATCATGGTGTGTGATCTTCTTAATACAGTCTGGAGTTTGGCAAGTATTTTGTTGAGAACTTTTGTGTCTGCTCACTGGGGAGACTGGTCTGTGGTTGTCTTCTCTGCTGGGTCTTTGCCTCGTTTTGGTATCAGGATAGGTGACGTCAGCAGAACTCTCCCCTTTCTATTGGGGAACCATTTCAGGAGTGTTTGACAATTACCGCTTCAATCTGATTGTTTTTATGGGTCTGTTTATACCATCTTTTGGTTTCCCAGTTTGTTTGAATATAAGTTTTCAAAAGTATTTCCCAATGCTCTTCTAGATTTTTCTCTAATTGTGTAAATTTTACTTCCCTCCCACCCCTAAAGAGGGTGTTATGTAGCCCAGGTTATATGACTAGGGCTAGCCTTGAACTCTTTTTTTTTTTTAAGATTTATTTGTTTAATGTACACTGGTGTTGTGGCTGTATATATTCTGTGTGAAGATGTTGGTTCCCCTGGAACTGGAATTACAGACAGTTGTGAACTGTCATGTGGGTACTGGGAATTGAACCCAGGTCCTCTGGAAGGAAGAGCAGCCAGTGCTCTTAACTGCTGAGCCATCTCTTCAGCCCCTAGCCTTGAACTCTTGGTTCTCTTGTTCCCACCTCCCAAAGGAGGGGGGGGTTACAGGTGTAATCCATACCAGGCTAATTTTTCTTTTCACAGAACCAGCTTTTTATTTGTTCGATCCCTTCATTCTTTTAGTCTCTACTTCATTTGTTGGCATCTCCTGCTTGGTGTGTGGCTTATTCTTGCTTGTGTAAGACCTTGAGGCGCATCATTAGATGATTATTTGAGATCTGGTTTTTGTTGTTGTTTTGCTTTGTTTGGGTTTTTCTTTTTTTTTAATTTGATTTTTTAAAGATTTATTATGTGTACAACATTCTGTCTGTATGTCTGCCTACAGGCCAGTGGTTGCTGGGAACTGAACTCAGGACCTCCAGAAGAGCAGTCAGTGCTCTTAATCTCTGAGCCATCTCTCCATTCCTTGTTTTGTTTTTTCAAGACATGCTTTCTATGTGTAGCCTGTCCTAGCACTTGCTCTATAGACCAAGATGGTCTTGAACTCACAGAGATCCACCTGACTCCGCCTCCCTAATGCTGGGATTAAAGGTGTGTGCCACCACTGCCTGGCTGAGATCTGTTTAATTTAGAAAAATATTACTCTGTGTGTGTGTGAAGGTCAGAGTGCTATTTTGCAGTG